ACACATTGTTCATGTAGGTGTCACTCAGTGTATAAATGAAATAATTTCAAATTTGCTATAAACAAAAGTTCATGCGAATGATGTTTCATTGAACTGTGATCTTTTACTTTCCATAACTGTCTCTCAAGAAAATATAATGAATTTACTAAACAACTTCCATCAAAAACAAAGTGTATTAAAGTTGATAGTTGTGTCCTTACCACACTGTAGTTCTCACTGGGAGAACCAACCAGTGCAAGAGGCAAATACCAGAATGGACCATCGCTGTTTGTCTTTGTTTTACACATAGAGCATGTGTTACTGTGTGTCAACTGTCCTTGAAATATCTAAGTGTGCAAAAATACAGAGAAAAACAAAATTGTATCATTTTTATTTATTTACCAATTATTTGTGCCTGATAAATTTCATAATGTCATTTACCTGTGAAGCTTCAGGATTGGTGTTATTTAAAATCTTCTCCAGGTATTCAGCAGCATCTTGTTGTTCACACACTGCATCAGGTTGTAATGAGAACAAATCACATTTGCATTTCTTTATTACATGAGGGACAAAGTTCCCATATTGGCATTTTACAAAACTGGTTATTTAGCCTTTATCTGATGAGATAATTGTCAGAAAAGACCCAAAAATGTTTATTTTTAAACCAATTGTAAAGTCCTATATGACTTGAAGCTCCATGTACAATATCATGTTCACAGGATGAAGATTTAACCTGTATGTGTGTGTTGAGGGAGGGGAGGGGTGGAGATAAAGGCACCCTTTCATTTCTGTCACATAACACACCACTTCTCCCAGTAAACTGGTGCAATCACTAAGTTTTTGGTATTTATGTTTATGTCTTTTGTTTGCAGTGGAACAACACAAAGAAGCAGAGGACAAAAAGCCAAATGTGATACAATCCACACAAATTTCCTAAAGTGGTGTGCTATCCTGCAGAAATGCAGGGGTGCCATGACTATATATACAGTTTATATACACAGTATGTTTGGTCTAACATTTAGGCCTATTCATGTAATTCGGCTAGCTAACATATACTGTACCGTTCCTGATGCCCAGCTCCTTTGTGATTCTTTGGTGCCTGCTGTGTGTTTCTCTAAGTCTTTAAACAAGTTTGTAAGATGGTGATCAAGACGTCTACTGTCAGGATTTGGAACAGTGAGTCTATACAAAATAAACACATATTAGCCATGAGTGATAGCAAAGTACTACATCTTTTGAATTTACACAAATAAAGACAAACATTATATGAAGGTTTTTACTTTAACAAACCTTTTCATGGTCTCTCTGAACACCTTGGTCATGAACAGTATCTGCAGCACACTGTTTAAATAATCTGTTGCTGCTTGGTTCCACAAACCATAGTAGTTGAGGACTGTTGGAAGGAAATAATGCACATAATTTCATAACTGCATGAAAACAGAGCTGTGAATAAAAGATGGCTCTTACCTGGAGTCATAGCAGGACTGTTCTGATTGCCCACAATATCAATCTGACATACTGTATATCAACAGCAAAGGACGTAACCTGAAAGCAAACTGAGGACAGAAAAATAAGAACTCTTTAATTGTAAATGCACACACGTACCTGCTGTACAAATACTTTTGGTTTCATTTGCCACCACGCCTACCAGAAAGCTGT